ATTAGCTGAATGGTAGCTGCTTTTAGCTACAAAAACCAAGTAAGTGTGTTGCTGAACTTAGCGGAGAAATGCAGAAAAGTGAAATGATTTGAATCAAATTGTTACAGCTCAAATGCATTGCAATGACTTTGTTGAAAACTTGAAAGTGAAATGTTAAACTGGAAGAGTAGGAAAAATAGTGAAGAAGCTTAATATTTAAAAGAAAAGGTTTAAAAAAGGTATAAACAACATGTATAGCCTCAATGTCCTGAAATAGCTGAATAATGTAATAGTTGAATGGTTTCTGCAGCTGAAAATAGCCTGAAGGAGTTAAATATCAGATGTAAGTAGTCGTCAATGAATGTGTATTAAGAAGAGAAAAGAAAGTAAAAAGCGTTGGGAAAGCAGCAGAATATTTTGACTGCAAACCTTTCGACTAAAACCATACGTCACCAATAATGTATAAAATATGTGGAACATGTTGAAGTCAGTATGAAGTCTCCATCAGACAGAAAAGAATAGGCTGAGACAGTCTATTAAAGTCCAGTCTGTTTGTCAGTGTTTGTTTCTGTGCTGAGCACCTGTGTGAGCCCAGAGATCAAAGGTTTCCATGGTGATGTGCAGTAATCAGTGAGAGGAGAGCCTTTCCATTGGTCTGAATGAGAGATAAACCTCTTACATTTGAACGTTTTGTTGAAGAACCGTAGCAGATATCGGTGAAATTTCAACGTGTGAAGCGTCTCAGGACCCTGACGAGCGTCTGAAGCATGGGCGTTGCAGCCATTATATGAGGGTGGGACAAGTCCCCCCCACTTTTTCAAATGATTAGTTTAGACCCCCCCACTTTTACTATGCGGAAAGTCCGTGAATCGGTCTATCCACTCGCCGCACTTTGTAGAGCGCTGTGTCAGTGCTTCACTATCAAATGAAATCCATTCCACTTGCTTATTGAGAGAATGCCCAAATCAATGAAACTCCGTACCATGTTTTCACTGCTACTTTGAACCAAGGCAGATTCTCACATAGCGCTCGCATGTTCAAGGAGTGTTGTCATAGTTGGACAGCTCAGATCTGTTGTATGAAGCGATGCCGGTAGCGGAAGTAAGGCACACACACCAAATGTTCAGGAAATGGTTAATACAGCGAAAATCAAAGCTGACGATCTCTTGGTTTGATATGTTTTCTCCCCCAGACAACATGGACATAAGAACATTTTTTTCAAAGAAGAGGAAAGTAAGTCATCAGCTGGTAGCAGTTAATCAGTTAACAGTGATGGCGGCGTCTCACTTCTGGAGAGGAGTTTCGTCTTTATGTCATGATAGAGAGATACAAATACTGAATAGTTTAGATGAGAAAAGGCATCGAAATGCCAGGTTACTAGTATTTATCATGTAAACAGGGAACATGAATAACCCGATCTCTCTGTGCTCATGTAAACACCATATCCCCAATATGATCATAACCGGGATAATACTCATAAACGGCTTACTGATGTCCATGTAGAGACGCAGTCAGTGTGTTTTACTGGAGCCTCAGTTCGATAAGAGATTCTTTTCTGAGTTCTTTAACTTAGGTACTCTCTCTCAAAATGGTAATGTGCATTATGTTTTAATTATACTTCTTATCATTCAGAAGCTTTTTGTGTGTGTTTATGTTTTACTGAAGGCTATTTCCATCCCAGTATTCAGTTAACTATTTATTTTCTGTGCACATTACATAGACTAGCTAATATTCTACCTACTGCTTGGGACTTTGAGTCTTCAAAATGTCCAATGTCACAGACTGGGACTTACTTTAGAGTCAGTTGTATTTACATTCAGTATGACTTGTTATGATTCAATGTGAAAGAGTATACTGCTCAATAAATAATTATCACTTCACCACCTCTCTTGACATCTAGGCACTTGAGAGTGAGTCAGAGGCAGAATACAGGGACAGTGGAGAGAGGTCCATTGCTGAGGTGAGTGATGAAAGGGAAATGACAGTTGAGAGTAAATTGTGATGTGGACTCTCATCCCAGGATTTTAAGAAAATCAGTGGGGATATTGAACAGGAAACATTTCAGTCAAGGGGCATCATATGACCAATATAGACAGAAGAGCAACATTTATTTGAACATTTAAGTCAATGATACCATTCCAAGGTGAACTTAACATCCGTATGGAGTCAGATCAGTCTTAATATTAATAAATGCTCACAGAAGGATTTACAAATGTATTTTGCGATTTATATATAAATGACTCTCCACAACAATATCTCTCAATGCACTCACAAATATTTATTGTTGTATATAAATGTACAAAAAATGGGCATTTAAACTGCTTTTTATTAATTCAAAGACAGCTCTGAATTAATAATCAAATATGTTTCCTTTCTTTACTACTGGATGAAATTACAAAATGTACCCATCATTTTCCTCATGCTAGTATAGCCACATAAAAGTATCAAACCACCTGTTAAAATGCACCAGAATACAGGAAATCTATATTTTTTTTCGTCCCCACACCCCCCGTTAAAAATGTCCCCCCCACATTCATGATGCTTCCTATGCCCATGGTCTGAAGTGTGCTTTTTGTGTACTTTCAGGTCAATAATGTGGCCTTTTTGGCAGATTAACTAAAGGTGTGCGGCTGCTGTGAAGAAAGAGCGGGCTGTATTTACAATAGGCCTTAATGGAGACATGTTGAAAGTTTTTGTCACTTTGTGCCCTCAAGAGGCATTTTGTTTAATTATTTTTGCTTAATTATTTTTAATTTTCCAACCTAGGAGAGGTTTTCCTACGTTTTTCATGACAAATTATGTCCAAGGAGTGTAGGATTTGGGAATTATGGCAGGTTTAAAAAAGAATTTGGGCGAATTTCAAGCTGTCCTCCACTCTGTTTTGAGATCAAAGCACTCTAGCCTTAACGAGCTGCCCAATAAAGAAGGCCTCTTTACCAAGCTCCAAACTAAGTTAAATATCTCAAAAAGTGTAAAAGATATCAAAAATCGGAATAACAAGTTTTATAGCTGAATGTCTTGTGATGATTTTAAAGTTGGAATGAAGTCTCTAGCTGAAAGTATGTGGAAGGAGTAGCATTTGGAGCAAGGTGTAGGTAAAAGAGGCTGGAGCAGGCGGGGGTTAGACTCTGACGTCACTGTCGAGACGTTAGTGGCCGACTCCGCCAAGGGCTTCTCGGCAACACTGCAGAATCCTATGGGTGACGTCACGGACACTACGTCCATTTATATATACAGCAGCGGCGAGCCGTGAGCTTTATACCTAGGCCCTCTGACCCCCACCCCTTCCCTCGAAAAAAAAAAAAAAAAAGAGTTATTACGTCACAGCGTATACTTCAGCGGAATATCAAAACAACGGCCCAGGGTGCAAAACGCATCAATGACAGCGACCCTCTACCACACAAAACAACACCTGTGAACCCAATTTGTGTTCTTTGACATTGAAAATGATATTGCATTGTGTTTGTTACTTTCGTTGCAGTTGTATGTCTTAAGTGTAATTTGGCATGCTTTTATTTTGAAGGCGAGTTCACGCTGTTGACAGGAAGTTGTTGTTGCTATGGAAACAAGAAAAGTTTCACAGCGGGCGGAACTTGTCATCTAGTCCGCGATAATAAAACCCACCCATTTAGAGGGAAGATATGATTGGTCAATTGTACTGTCATTTGACATTACTCTCTCGTTCAGTTACTATAGCGGGCCCTCTGTGAATCGCAGAGGGCCAGATGAGCTTCTTTCATGTAACCCACATTCAAACAGAGACTGAACAGGCAGATTCGAAGGATTTATTTATTTGGAAATGTTATTTTATTAAATCAAGTTTTTTTTCGGTAAAACTAATGAAAAATATAACAAAAATAATATTAAAAAAATATATATTTAAAAAAAATATATTTTTTTTTAATGTTTTTAAATATTTTTTTTTTGAATATCTTAGGCCCTCACAGAGGGCCTAGAGGGCCCTGACGGCTCGCCACTGATATACAGTCTATGTTCGGACGTCATATGTCACGTGATTTTAAGCAAGCTTCGAAGCACTGCTTCTATGGAATAGGAAAACCAGGGTTTGAAGCACGTATCGAAGCTTCAGTGTCATAGTCAAACTGCCATCACTACATTTCACCTCTTTCTTTCAGAATGAGGCGAAAAGTATTAAATGAGGACAAAATCACTACAAGTCTGGGCATGTTGAGAGTTGTATATACACAAAAGGGGAGTTAGTCGGTTCCATAAGAGCCGAGGTGAGTATGACGAGTGTAATCGTAACGTTAATGTCAGCTAGCTAACATTAGTTAACAAGGTATACTCCCGTGTTTTGTTTTAAGAACTAGTTTTCTCGTTAAGAACTGCGTGATCGCTGTGTATGCTGTGGATAACATTAGTGTTGGCAAGGACAAGGTACGTAGAAAACTAGTTGCTAAAACAAAACACAGTGTACCTTGTTAGCTAATGTTAGCTAGCTGACATTAACGTTACACATTACACTCATTTAACACTCACAGACACCTTGTACACCCGGTCCCGCATGCTGGCTCTTACGGAACCGACTCACTCCCCTTTTGTGTAATATTTCCACCTCATTTAACACTTTTCACCTCATTCTGGTGTTTGTGACGTGTACTGTGCGAGACCAGAGATGTAGTTCATTGAGCGGATAAAGTATTCTGATTATGAATTTGGGATACAGTGTTTTCATGGTAGATTGAATAATTATAATATATTTATAGGGATACTTTTTTTATTCCTTTCTCATTCCCTCTCAAAATAATTGGTTACTGAGTGTACCATGTGAGGAAAAACAGTCTTGCCCGAGGGCCCTTCAGAAGCATATATTAGCTGATAAAGGGCGTCTGTAATAATTCATCCATTATGCAGCCGTGAGTGACACTCCCATTCTTCACTGATGCAAATTTGGGGCAAATACAATGAAAGGAATAACTCAAACACTTCAAAATCTTTTAATATATTTATTAATATTCAAGATGCATTTGTTTAAAAAAGAAATGAAATGCTACATGGGCCATATCAAAAGACAATCATGTTATTGGGGATTTTCAAGGCAGTATTAGGAACTATAGAAAAACCTTTGCAAGAACAAGTTGTTTTTCTCTGTATTGTAGAGTATGAAACCATCAAGTTCCCCCTACTTTAACACATTTTAACAAGTGCAAATTTGACCTGTGGATAGACAAGGTACTAATGTGCTTAAGGCCTCAGATTGCTGTACAAAAAGAGCACCGGAAAGACAAGTATGTAAATGCAATGGTGGTGCAACGATGACTGTACATAAAACAATTCTGGCAAGTTCGGAATAACCTGCAATAATGATTCTAAAGAAGGCTTTAATTCAAAAAGTGTAAACTACCATGATGTTGTTAAAAAGGCTGACGTGAATGAGGAAAATGACAGACTAGATCTGCGACATTCAAGAAATACTTAGCAGTTGATTTATTTTGATCAAGATGTGTGTTAGAAATAGCCCTTTTCAGCGATTATTTTTGCTTTCTTCTGCTGACGGTGATCCAGGTTTCTTCTTTAGGCGTGGATACCAGCTCAGATCGCACCTCCATCACCTGCCCCTTCAGAGGGTGAAGCTTCAGCTGCCGCACTAACGTACTGAGCAGGACAGTAGCCACAGTGTAGGCAAACCTGTCAAAGAGACCAAATGTGATGGATTGTGGAAATGTTATTGAAGACACTTTTTCACTTCTACTCACTGTCATTGCTCTCAGTATTAGCTCCGTCTATGTCTAGACTTTACCTGAGTTCTGGACATGTTTGATTCCCTGAGAATCCGAGAAGACAGAAGCTCTTCCTCACCGATTCCTCCTCAAATCGATCCGGGTCAAACCTGAGGGGATGTCACAGTAATCACAGATCAGAAATGGCACAAACCAACATTTTAAACCTGAAAGATAAACCCCACTATGTGATGCTGTCATACCATCTATACCATTTGTTCCAAGAGGTACTTTCTGATTAAATTGATTCATTCAAACAATTATCATTATGTAGATTCAGTAATGAGGAAAAGGAACACTACTTGCATTTGTTTTTCCATTATTCATATGTTGAACATTGTGGACCAATATCCAAAATTAGCTAAAAAAAACAATATGCTTATGAAAATGTCCACAGATTATAGATTTCAAAGTTCCTTTTGGGTCCATTTTATATTTTAAGCTCAATCAAGAAGTCATTTGAATTTAAGTTCCTAAATAAACCAGTGTGAAGAGAAATTATTTTTGGGAGAAATACTTGCCATAAACCTTGACAAAACACCACAACACATGATTTGAACAAGCAGCCTTGTAGTTATTTCTGGACAGCCATTTTTTAAAGTAAATGATAATGTTGAACCTGTATGGGGTGCTCCAGGTGTCAGAATCCTGAAGGACAACTCCCAAAGCGTAGATGACCAAAGTCTGAAAGCACAGCATTTTTATTTATAAAGTTATTATTGTTCAATTTCTTTATCTCCACAGTAAACTGTGTGGTTTCCCGGCTGTATTATTTTAGCAGGAAGCAGATACCTCTTTGGGGATGACATGCTGATCCACCTTGCCCTCCACTTCCTGCAGCCTCGCAGCGACGGGGGTCAGCTTGGCGGTCCTCACTGTCTCGTTCAGGACCTGCTGGCAGTATCTGTCAGACACAGGAATGTGATCAGATCAAGGTCATACAACACAGCAGCATCACCTGGATGTGCATACATGTAGCCAGTATGACCTTGAATTAAATCTGTGCAATATCTCTCTACGCTTTACCAAAATTGGACCATTGCCATTCTCCAAAAATCTTACCTCAGCTCAGGGATCTTGTCTAATGAAATGGGGTCTGAACCCAAAACCTGCTCCAGCTCCTGGTACAGTTTGTCCTGAACGTCCTCCGAGGTGGACAGGAAGTGAAGTGCCCAGATACACACTGCAGAAACACAACATTTTAACTTCCTTTTGGTTTAGCTTTTTTGTTCCTAAGTTGCTATTTCTGGACATACAGTGGCTTAATAATATAACTGACTTTATAAAATAAATATACAATTCGGGATTTACTTGTGGTCCTCCTGACATGTGAACAGACCCGGTTCCAGTAGTAGGTTTACATGAGCAATAGTGGCTGGCAACAGCAATGAAAAATAGCATTGATGTTATGGTCCCCAATGAACAGATTATGGCATTTGTTATGCTCTGAAACCAAGCAAGTGAGAACATTTCAAGTGTGTTAAAAGTGCAATCCTGAAATATTTCATCCAGTCCAAAGTGGACTATGCATGGGAAAGAAAAGCACAAAAGCTTCAAAACTGTACTGATAAAACAAATGAGAACATATTGTAAATCAAGGCAAATATTATTTGAACCAGCTCATGGTTTGAAATGGCAAACATTGAAAGGCAAAAGTATTATTAAAACCATGTACATCATCACCTTGGTCCCATCATATACTCTGGGAAGAGAATATTTACTGTGCTTGAAAACTGGTATCACATCATCATGTGAGGTTGACTTTGTGACCTGGAGAACATTTCCGCTGCAACATTAGCTCGTTGATAAGCTTGGGATATGAGATATTTTTGTAGCCATTCGTGGTGAAGGCCTTTGTGCTATTGTATGCATTTTTGACCCAACATTTCTACAGGCATGGCAGAATATGGCACTATTTTTTACATGAATAATCTAGCCATTGTCTATTTTTATACCACGAGCTGCAACATGACCGCCTTCCCCCACTGTACATACAGGCGGGTACTTGTTTAGATATACCTGGACAGGCTCTGTTTTGCCGAGGTCCCCTGGCACCTGCGGGCCTCAAAGGGGTGGCGTTGTTTCGGGTGACGAAGACTGCTGCTCCGGGGGCGAGGGCGGCGAGTCGGGCGGGAGTAAGCTAGTGTCCACGACGGCGGGTAACGTAATGTCCCTATCTGACCTGTTGCTACTGTCTGCAGTAGATGCAGTGGTGCTGGCGTTTAGTGATGGTTGCTTTAACCATTTTCGTATATATCTATGATTATCCACAAATGTGTGTCACTGCTGTGGAAGCACTTTGGAAAGGATGCACGCGCAGGTCACGCGCACCTGACACAATTTGTTTTATATTGTATAATATTTTTCGCTCCCTTCTCTTTTTTGAATAGAGGGTGCATAACATTCAACTGAGGGTGCAATGCATGCCTATGCACCCCCGAAGAACCGGTCCTGCATGTGAAGAAAACTTTGTAATGCCTATTTTTATTAGGTCTTATAACATTTTGTTGTCATTTTCTATTCCATATTTATGTTGTTGGTCTTCTACTTTCACCGTAATTTTTAATATCCTCTTAATAATTCATGTTATGAACCAGAAACCTTAGAGAAGTCCTTGTGATAAAGTAAAATCTACTTGGAAATAAACTATATTTTGATTTTTGAACTACCAACTGTATTTAACTATAAACTGAGAATAATGTGATATTTTGCGGGTTCTTTCAATAACTGACATGTTAATTGCAGCCTTTAATAAAGTATGAATCAATAAGTCAATTGACTGTGATTTTTGTCACTTACAGTTGGCAGTGATGACAGATCCAGCCAAAGTGAAAACCATGCAGTCCTCCATGATCTGGGAAAAAAACAGTAATTTCAGTCGATTTTTGAGAACTGTCACAATCTTTAAGTTACCTTTTTGGAATATAAAGCAGAGTGTGTGGCTTCATCAGTATTCACCTGTCGCTCTGTGAGGCTGGACTGAAGCAGAGCGTCCACAAACGCCGTCTGCTTCCTCTGAGCCTTCCTGTCCTTCGCCACCGACAGACTGCATCTCTGACAGAGCTAAACACGCAGGAAACGAAAAATCCGTTATCTTTTCACAACTTTGAATATGATTACAAGTTAAAAAGACTGCATTTCAAGCATCTGTCTTGCGTTCCTGCCTTTTAGACAGCATCTATAATTAACTCCAGCAAGAGCCAAGTTCCAGTCAAATTGTCCTTGGCACATAAATCAAGGTCCCCAAAAACGACAGAAGCTGTTCCCTGAAAATGCTGAAAAGGTTGGTTGTGCAGTGTGTGTGTGGAGCGGATCTACACACACAGATCAAGTCTGATCCTCTGCAAACTTTCCCTGCTGTTTCTCCACAGCACAACAACAGAAGAAAACACCATGCTGCTCATAAACACACACACCCAATCCCAACGACTCAAAGAAGAACAGAAGGTAGCTTCCATAAATCCTCCACAAGTACTGGATGTTTCATCTATTTTTTATTAGGATTTTGGCTCCTAGCGAATATGAAAAACGCTGCTCTCATTTTGTCTTACTGTAGATCACAACATATCTTTTATTTTGGACATATTTATATTTTGAAAATGTACATAGTCGAAGTGCACTTACACATTTTAACTTATTTATTTTTGATATGATTTATTTAAATGTTTATGTACACTGTAAAAAAAAAATGTTTTTTTACAGTTTTTCCCCAAAATAAATTACAGTTTTTTATTGTATTTCATAATTACAGAAAATCATATTCAATTTACAAGAATAAACGGTTTATTGAAATGTGTCATGTATTTTAACAAAAAAAAACTGTAGAAATGGAATACATTATTTATCTGTTTTTTAGCAGTTTTTAAATGCGAATTTAACTAAACTAACCGTAAAAATAAATGATTTTCTGTTGGCAAAATTAGCTGCATTTTCTGTAATTTTACAAAAAAATACTTTTGTTATGGCTATATATAACTGTCAAATACTGTTAATACTCATTTAAAAAATGTATAATTGCAAGAAAATATATGAGTAAAGAAAGAAATATTTAGTAATTTTGCTTAATTTAACCACTACTTTACATTGATAAACTGAAAAAACACAGGTATTGACTATCCTATTATAGTAAAAAAAACTACATTTTAACACATTTGGACTTTCACTTTATTGCTACATTTGTATTAATTTGAAGATTTAATTGTTAAATATGTGAATTTCATGTTATAAAAACTGTGTAAAACCATAGAGTTAAAAAAAAACTTGACTGTTAGCATGTTGGGTGCGAATTCCTACCAGAGCACAATTCAGATATCAAATGATACTATAACCCACCAGTAACAGCCTGTGGGTTATATAGGAGACATTTGGCTATGCCATGATACATCTATAAACTAGCTCATAGTCAGCATTCACTGCAGGCAAACCTAATGTGACCATTCACTAATGATTTCTAAGTAGAAGAAGAAGAAGAAGAAGAAGAAGAAGAAGAAGAAGAAGAAGAAGAAGAAGAAGAAGAAGAAGAAGAAGATATCATGTATTCATCACTCAGAGGGGAATGTCTTCACCCTCTCTGTCGTGTTTAAACACATTACACACACAGGGAGGATATACTGTACATGCACAAACACACAGAGCATATACATATACATGCACAAACACAACCACATGCGGATAGGAGAGGGGATCGCAGAGAGGCTGCCAGATAGCCGGCGCCAGGGAGCAGTTTTGGTGTTCGGTGCGTTCACAGCCCAAGTAACATTGACCTGCTGATCTCTTTCAACACAAGAAAAAGTTGTGCCAATTTCTGACATCATTTAGCTTTTCAGATGATCAGAGACACGAAGCTACCGCAAAGTCACTTGTGCAGCTAACGGTGATTGGCAGACAGTATGCAAAAAACATATTGAGTTTCACTGTAAGCGAAAAATTAAAGGATCTAGAAGTTAAATAACATTAGCATCTTCCCCTAGGCCTTATCACACTAGCATAAGCCCATAACATTGAACATGCTAGCAAGCACTTACAGCCAGCCTACTCTGAATATCAAAACCTTGTTAGCAGTTAGTGCTACCACTATGCTAAATTGGTATTAGCATTGCGATTACAGTAAAGCAACTCTACTAACAAACAACCAACTGTTGTGCGTTCACAACCCAAGTAACATTGACCTGCTGATCTGTTTCAACACAAGAAAAAGCTGTGTACATTTCTGACATCATTTAGCTTTTCAGATCATCAGAGACGTGAAGCTACCGCAAAGTGCCTTGTGCAGCTAACACAGAGTGCATTCTCGTAGCGATTGCTACAACTGCACCATGTTTGTTAGGAAAGTAGCTTTTAGAAATGTATCAATGTTCTAAAATGTGTGACTCAATATTTATGCACAGTATGCAAAAAACATATTGAGTTTCACTCTAAGTAAAAAATGAAAGGATCTAGAAGTTAAATAACATTAGCATCTTCCCCTATAGGCCTTATTACACTAGCATGTACAATTTAGCCCATAACATTGAACATGCACTAACAGCCAGACTCTGAATATCAAAACCGTGTTAGCAGTTAGTGCTACCACTATGCTAAATTGGTATTAGCATTGCAATTACAGTAAAACGAACAATGTTGTCCTTTTAGACGTCTAATAATATCCAACTATTCAATGCATCACATTGAAAGAATAGGCCTTCACCAAAGCATGTTGACAAAGCTAGTAGCTACAGCGAAATACATTTACAATCCAAGTCAATTAACTTAAATATGTATTGTGATAATGTCCCACACAGCTAGTTGGTTACAACAATCTACAGTGATGTCACAGGGATTTCAGGCAGCAGGTAGTTGAAGGTTAAGTATATAAATTCACTTGTTAATCCATTTGCTATGGCTACAACTGCCTCGTGGAACAACAAAGATTTATTTTCTGTTTGTTTAATATAGGAATGCATCTTTGTCTATCACACTTTGCTTCTGTAGATCTCCCATCTGACTTTATTGTGAGCTTGTGTTTTCAAAAAGTAAATTGAGCATGTTTTATGAGACTGAACAGTCTCATGGGGTATTGGACTCTCTTAAAACCCAGGTAGGTGCAGAATAGGTTTCTCAAAAATAAAGCAAACAGGAAGGCAGTACTATGCATGACTAAAAATGATATGTACACGTTGATTAATACCTACTTAACTTGTACTTGGGACAGGACTGCAAAGTACAGATGGGATATTCCTGTGCACCAACATTAGTTATCAGTGTTCTCTATTCTCAATTTAAAAGAATAAACTGACAATAAAGAAGTCTTATAACATATTTTGCTTGTGTCTTTGGAAGGCCTTCAGTGTTTGTTTTATTATTTATCAACTAGTTACATTGTCATTTTGTAAATTAAGAAAATAATATCCAAAGAATTAAACAATTATAATTGCAATGTAAATAGTTTGCACCCCATTTTTTTACTTTTAAATTAATCTTTATGGTGTGGCGTTACCAATTCTTAAAATAATACAAGGATTGGATGTTCATCAAAGGATTTTCAGGGCAATCGATTTGCAGCCAATCAGAGACGAGACTTCTGCTGCACTTACCCATCATGCTTTGAGGCACTGATACTACAGAGACCACTCAGTTAGCACGCAGGAGGTGAAGAGCACTGCACGTGGCGCGCCCAGAGGAGAGGAATCAGCACTTTCAGAGGTAACGGTAAAAACTATTTATCAACGGATTCAAAACACTCAAGACTTAAAACATTGCAAACGTCAAAGTCCTAGCTATGGTATACATTTTGTTTAACGGCCGAAAACAAAGTAATGTTAGCTAACGTTACCATAGCTAGGTAGCAGCTAGCTAGCTACGGTAGCAGCTAGCTACCATGCTTTGAAATTGAGCTGTTCTATGCCGTCATTATGCAGGGTGTTAATTTTTAATTTTTTAATGGTGCTCGAGTGGCTGAGCTGATGTGCAGTGAATGTTTCAGAGTTACTTTTTCGCAATATTATTTAATAAATAGTTTAGCTAGCTGACTAGCATACATTGTCACTAACTCCTAATGTTAGCTCAATCCTTAGTTTTATAATCGATTTTTTTGTGGGCATAATGTTACACACAATGCACATTATCCATATCTTTTAAATCCTATGTTAAGGCTATAATCAGAGGTGGGAGAAGTTCTCTGATCTTGTACTTGAATAAGAGTTGAAGTACTCCGGTCTTATACTTGAAGTGGCAGAGTTCCCGTTAGAATATTTTTTTGCCGGTCAACATGTCCGTTAAAGTTTAAATCTTCCAGACAAAATGAGAAAAGTGCCGGTCAAAGGTCTTATTTATTGAGCTTTTAAACAAATTGATATGATTCGATATTAAACAAACTAATTCTAGTAGATTAACTACATTATTCAAAAGTGTACAATAATTTATAACACGGGAATAATAAACGGAGCGCTCTCTCTCCCTCTCCTGACAGCACGTCAGTATCATGCAGCTCGCGGATCCAGTAATGAGCAACCCAGTAAAACTAAACATATCTATAACTAGTTTAGGTAGTTTGAGAGATAATTAAAATAGCTACGTGATATTCTAACCTGAAGTGTGTGTTTTGCTCCGCTCACCGCTGCAGGGGATCATGCAGAGCTGGGTGTCGACTCGTCAGCAGCAGCTGATCTCTTGCTCCGGTCAGATTAGACTTCAATCGCGTTTATGTCCATATCGATCAGATCTAGCTAGTTCTAGCTAATGATATGACTACCTGCTTATTAAAAGACACCTAAACAATAAGCGTCGCTATGCAACCGGGTGAGGCCGCAAAGTATAGCGCAGCATTATGCATTTGTTTACATGCCCACCGGAACCCCGAGGCATTGCCAACAGGCCAACAGATCAACGCACAATCAACCCATACAGGACACTCTTTCTCCACATTAAATGTTAGACATTAGAATTGACTATTCTTGTCTGTCACATACTATTCTTGTCTGTCACATAAGTGGTGCAACTGATGCGGTATTGTGCTAAAGGGAAATTATTTTGACCAGACATTTTGACCGGAGAGATTTCGATTTGCCGGTCTTCAGCATATTTTACCGGTCATAACGGGAACTCTGAGTGGTATTACTGTACTTAAAGCTGCTGCTGTGTTATTTAAGTTATTTTTGCTTAAGCATGTGCAAACTTGTGTCTCTTTTTTTCCCTCAGCTGTTACTGTAGCTGCAGTACCAGTAATTGCAACCTACCAAGAATAAACAGCAGCCAGAGATCCTCAAGTAAGATTTCTTGCCATATTACAAGTGTTATAAATTCTCAATGTCCTATATGGTATTGCTATGCAAACAGTGAAAGGATATGGAAATCATCAAGAGGTGGCTAAAATATGTTTTTCTGCTGACCCTGTCCAGAGCAGTACATTGCTTTGCTTCCAGGTGGTTGCTCCTGTCTGCATCTCCAAGCTCGGGGCATCCCGGCCATCAGTGGCGGACTGGCCATCGGGACGTTCGGGACGAATCCCGATTGGCCGGTCGGGCCACTCGGCCCACTTCGGTACCGGCAGGGGCGGACTGACCATCTGTAGAATCACCGAACGGCCGGGTCGGTTTGCTGTTTTTAAACGGCATCATTGAAGTTAAGCTGACAGGCGACAGAGGTCCACCGTTTCCCAGTCCGCCCCTGCCGGCCATCATCTACTCTAGGTAATACACTGACTATGGATAAGTACCTTTATAAAACCCCACTTTAAACACCCAAACTATCCCTTTATGATGTGACATTTTCTACACTGTTAACATTAGGAAACACTTAAGAAAGAAAAGAAAGCTGCAGGAGCTGATCATTCCTAAAATACAATTGGCCATGTGATCACCAGTAAAAAAACAAAACAATCTGCACTAAATATTTTTTGGATTTATAAATGTTTTGTGACTTTTTCCTGTTGTGTACCTTAAGGGAGTTCTCCCCTGACAGCTGGACAGTACATGATAGCAGAGGACCAGACCATCGTCAGTGACAGTGTCCTGAATGTTGTCGACGCCCTGATGCTGATGTTAGCAGCATATTACTGCCTCAACATCAGTTATCGCTCAGAACTGGGAGCTACCCTGGAGTTCTTGCAGAGGTAAGACTTGAATTGTAATTATTAAGTAATTCCATCTTAAACCACAGAGTAGAGGATTGTGCACATTTCTGACACACGATAAGTGCTCCTGACAATACAAGATAATCGAGATAAAAAGATTATTGTGCTGCATTCTGTTTCGCATTATGCTCTCGTTTTGTCTTGGGTTGTAAATTCAGCGTACCCCTTTCCTTTGCAGTGGTGTGCTTTGGCTCCTCCCTAAAAGCTCAAACTCACTCTTAGCCAATCGGTGGTATGTTTACTTCAGCTCAATGAAAATGACGGAAAGAGGGCCCTTTGTCGACAACAAAAGAAAACCTGGTATTATTGCAGTGAACAAACACATTAGAACTTCTTTCGGTTAACTACGATGCTTTTACACCGCTCACTCTGCTACTGACACGCACCTCATCTGCCCCAGTTACACACAAACCTCTCAAGATGGGACTCGTAGCTACCCAAATCTTCAAGTGACCGCTTGCTCCTGTTTACAGACCTGCTGCGATACTGTCCAGTGTGATAGTGATGCCAAGTGACGACTTTATATAACAAAATCTATTCAAACCAATGCTTTAAATGCACAGATATGATCATAGCAGTTAATGAAAAGTACATTTAAGAGTAGCATTGCCCTTTGACTTCAAGCTGTATAACTGTAAAGACAATTAATGGCTGTATCATCCACAGAATGTGTAATTAAACACTAAATGTAAGTGTACTTCTGTCTTAACAGGTGCCTATTCAAGATCAATCCGGACAATGGGACTAGAGTGGAGAGGAAGGAATACAAACAAAAACAGCACTCGATAAAGATAAAGGTGCATTCATTAATTACAAACGTCGCTGACTTTGAATGGAGAGAGTTGAAACACACATAGTCATGTACACACGCACGCACATAACTGGTAGATTTCTTTAGTGTTTATAATTGTTATCTTTTGAACAAAATGTTGGCTATTGTTAAATGTTGAAATGTTTCATTGCCGGTCTATTCTGCTTTATTATTACTTAAAATATATTTTATTTATTGTTTTTATTTTTGTGATGTATATTATTTTCAATAATATATCGTATATATTTGTGATTTTTTTTTTCTACAAAACATCGGACAGTTAATGTAAACTTGGGCTTTTGCAAAGTAAAATGACATGTTTACTTTGTGTTTTACATGTAAATGGTCTTAGATTTCATGAAGTTTGCTGACGACACGACCGTCATCGGCCAGATCACCGACGGCGACGAGACGGCGTACAGAGAGGAGGTCGAAAACCTGACATCTTGGTGCCAGGATAACAACCTCCATCTCAACGTCAGCAAAACCAAGGAGCTGATTGTGGACTACAGGAAGCAGCAAGGAGAGGGATACGCCCCCATCGCCATCAATGGGACTACGGTGGAGAGAGTCAGCAGCTTCAGGTTCCTCGGGGTCCACATCACCGAGGACCTGACATGGACTCATCACTGAAGACCTGACTCATCACTAAGGACCTGACATGGACTCATCACTGAGGACCTGACTCATCACTGAGGACCTGACATGGACTCATCACACTAACACCATCACCAAAACAGCGGCTCTTTAAAAACAAAATTGTATTAGTCAATTTATTGAACATGTTAGAAACAAAACAAACAATATTTATCGTATTTTAGCTTAAAAACGTTTCTGGTCCTACCCCCCCCCCCCCCCCCCAGCGTACATTGTTCATGAAAATACAAGTTTGGGTCATCGTCATCAGCATCTGTGATATTGGATTCATTCTTTTGTACAAAACAACCAAAAAGAAATAACTTTTACAACGACAAGAAATAGCAAGCATCAGTTCACAGGTCCTGCTCGGAACCATTCAGGATTTGGTTTCTAAATAAGAGTTTTAGTTTAGATAAAGTTGCACAGTATTTCAGCTCATCATTACAGTTATTCCACAGATGAACACCTTCTGTTGTGATGCAATGAAGTTTGGAATTTGTTCGAATGGGTGGTTTTAAAAAAAAATGCAGTTTCCTCTCAACATGTGTATGTTTTCTCTCCGTGTGAAAAGTCCCATGACATTATGATGTAATTGTTCTGCAGGCTGAGGAAGTTCAACATGGATACTCTGCATCTTCTACAGGTGCACCATAGAGAGTATCCTGACTGGCTGCATCACGGCCTGGTACGGCAGTGCAATCATATTCCGTTTACTTGCATATAGACTACTTGCATATAGACTCTACTTGCACTATTTCTATTCTGTTATATTTGTTCTATGTTCTATATATATGTTGCACTGTTGGAGGAGCCTGTGACTTCAGTTGTTCATTGCCATGTCTACACTGAAGCTAATGTACAAATGACAATAAAGCCTTGAATCTTGAATTTACGGTATTTTTTTCAAATGACAACTAATCTTTCAGCTTTTTTTGATCATTTAAAAAAATATTTATTCAGTTTTTCTAGAGGTGTATAACTCTATTCTAACAATTAATATATGTTAAAAGAAAAAGATTTCCTGTAAAATTACAGATTTTTTTGGGCAAAAAATGTGATAGTTAATGTAAACTAAGGCTTTTGCAAAGTAAAATTACATTCTTTTCTTTGTGTTTTAATGGTAAATGGTCTTAGATACACGGTACTTTTTTGTAATAATAAAAGTAATTTTATGTATTTTAGCTTTTTTTTATCATTTTTTTAAAGATAATTATTCCATTTTCTAGAGGTTTATGACTCTATTCTAACATGTTAAAATAAAAAGATTTCATGTAAAATTACAGTAATAGAGGCTACTTGTGGTAAGGTAAGTAACTTTTTTTTTACATGTTATCTCCGTATTTTATTTTACAGTTTTTTTCCTTTTTTTAACGGACATTTTCTGAGAGACAGCAAGCGCATTTCGTGGCATCTGCAGGCAGTGGCAAGTACTTCCGGCATATGCCACAGATGCCACAACTTGCCACCGGCATATGCCACAGATGCCACAACTTGCCACAGATGCCACAACTTGCCGAGGCATCTGCCGCTACTGAACGGGAGTTGCCACAAGATGCCAGAAGGTTTACGATAGCTGCCACTCGCCTTCCGTGGCAAATGCTGCTATTTAAACCCGTATTTATCGTGTAAAATGTCGCTGTTTAGGCATGACCAGTGGTGTAGTGGGCGTTGGACGCGGGGGTACGCCGTACCCCCACTTATTTGAAGCATGCATTTTTTTAATAGTCTAATAAATATAAAATCATTGCCTCAGTTGCAAGTATGTATTTGTTGTAATAATGACGAAAACATAATAGGCAGATTTCACAGTAGTTGTAATAAAAACGTAGCTCAAGCATTTATGCAACTTGATTTGAAGCGGGTGTGTGTGTGAGGGGCAGCACCGTGTGTGTGTTTGTGTGTAGGGTGAACAGATGTCCCGCTGTGTGCGGAACTGTCACTGCACACACAGCATCTTTATTATTTGTCCCGAGTACCACGAAATTAAGACTATGTACCGCATTTGAGTGACAGTCGCGCAGAAAGGCCGGATCGGTTCGCTGACGGCCGACACCGCCCTATATTATTATATTTATATTATATTTTAAACGGCATCATGTAAGCTGCGCTGACAGGCGACACAGAGGTCCACAGGGTACAGTACTTGAGTATATATACTTAGTTAGCCTATTTCCCACCTCTGGTCAACAATGATAGATGTTAATGTCAATAAATTGTCTTTATTCACTTATAATATATCTTGAGTATTATCATAAAAATAGCACGTTTATTTATTTTAACAAACCACGTTCTCCAAGTAAATTCTAATAGAAATTATAATGTTTAATCTTTTTGAAAAATAGAGATCGCACATCAGTCCTGTGTACAGATCATTTCGATAAAGGCATGCCTAAACAGCGACATTTTACACGATAAATACGGGTTTAAACAGCAGCATTTGCCACGGAAGGCGAGTGGCAGCTACCGTAAACCTTCTCTTACTCTGGCATCTTGTGGCAACTCCCGTTCAGCAGCGGCAGATGCCTCGGCAAGTTGTGGCATCTGTGGCAAGTTGTGGCATCTGTGGCAAGTTGTGGCATCTGTGGCAAGTTGTGGCATCTGTGGCAAGTTGTGGCATGTTGTGGCATCTGTGGCAAGTTGTGGCATCTGTGGCATATGCCGGAAGTACTTGCCACTGCCTGCAGATGCCACGAAATGAGCCAGTCCCTACTGGATTTTCTGGCGCCCCCGTCGCCAGAAAATGTCCGTTTTTTTACAATTTTTTTTTTTTACAGTGTACTCTTCATTCATCCCCCAGCTCTCTCTACTCTCCGCTCACCCTTGCCCTCCCCCTGGAGTTCGATGACCGCATGAAGGCTATACGCAGGGTTGGCAGCATGTCCATTACCCCCGCCCCTCAACGACGCCCACCAAAATCACCGAAGACAAGCCTACGTCAACCACCTCCCCCCCTGGCAGCATGTCCTTTACCCCTGCCCTTCCACAACGCCCACCAAAATCACAGAAGCAGAGACGCGCACCATCTCCCCCGTCTTCATCACCGTGCCTACGTCAACCACCTCCCCTCCCTTCAAGAAAGCATCTGCAGTCTCCGAAGCCTGATAAGGATGTGTGTGTACAAAACGCAACAAACTCTTACTGATATGTGCTGGGTCCAGGCTCAAGGGCATATGGCACTCTCAACTCTTTCCAGGACATGCCGGGGCCCTGCCTGCCAGTAGCTTTGCCGATATCTGTGTTGATAGTTAATAGATTAAGAGCGGTGAATCAGGAAACAGGAAGTGCTCAAACGTTTGTGTGAGGTTATCAAATTTAGCAGTGATTCCATGTCAGCCACAGCTTGTCACAAAAAATCTTACTGATAGTGTATTTAACAAACTTAAACTAGCTTTATTACATGTCAGGTCTTTGGCAGGAAAAACATTTTTAATCAATGATTTTATCACTGAGCACAATCTCGATTTTATGTTTTTAACGGAAACTTGGATTGAACAAAATAACAGTGCAGCTGTTCTTATCGAATCAACCCCTCCCAACTTTAGTTTTATGAGTCAGGAAAGAATGCATAAGAAAGGGGGTGGAGTTGCTATTTTTGTAACGACTGAATGAACACAAGTAGAGGACTCAATAGCACGACTCAGAGACAGAGGCTTAGGATGCAAAAAAGGTCTTTATAGCCAAGGTACGATACACGGGAGATCGGTCACAAGGAAAACACTGCTGGAACGCTAGGAAATAACGTAGACGAACTGGCACTGAAGGGAATGTGGATGCAGACTAAGTAGACAGAGGGAGAGATGATAATGAGGCACAGGTGAGGCTAATTAGGGATGGGAAGCAGGTGGAGTTCAATCAGCGCAGGAAAGCTGAAACTGAAATGAGAGAAACCAAAAATGAGAACAGGAACAATAACAAAACATCAACATGCTAGCTAGGGCTTTACAGTACCCCCCCCTCTAGGGACGGCACCTGACGTCCCAGGTAGTCCAGGATGTTGGCGTTGAAAGTCTTGGATGAGGTCCTTACTAATATTACTGGTGGAGACCCATGACCTCTCCTCAGGACCGTAGCCCTCCCAGTCAACCAGGTACTGACGTCCCCGGCCTCTAGGTCGAACTGCCAATAGGCGTTTCACTGTATACACAGGTCCACCATCAATAAACCGGGGGGGTGGAGGGGGTCTGGAGGTGGGAACCAGTGGACTCACTTTAACCGGTTTGATGCGTGACACATGAAATGTAGGATAGGCCCTCAAGGATCGAGGTAGTCGAAGCCGCACTGCCACAGGATTGATGACCTTGGATACTGGGAAGGGACCCACAAAACGAGGAGCCAGTTTGCGAGACTCCACTCGAAGGGGCAGGTCTCGAGTAGAGAGCCACACACTTTGTCCAGGTTGGTAGGCAGGAGCAGAGATACGTCGGCGATCGGCCATCCTCTTACAACGGGCTGAACTCCGTAGTAACACCTGGCGGGCCCAGCTCCAGGTGCGATGACATCGGCGAATGAGGGCATGGGCAGATGGAACACTGACCTCCCTCTCCAGGTCGGGGAACAGCGGCGGCTGGTATCCATAGGCACACTGAAAAGGTGAGAGACCAGTAGCAGAACTAGGCAAAGTGTTGTGTGCGTACTCCACCCAAATAAGATGCGTGCTCCACGTGGCAGGGTTCTGAGACACCAGGCAGCGTAGACAGGTCTCAAGCTCCTGATTCAGCCGCTCCGTCTGGCCGCTAGACTGCGGATGATATC